CCACTTCACAATTGTATACCACTTTGTGTTGGTCTTTCACATTAAATTCCAGTGAAATATATTTACTGTATGTTTGTGGTTGTAATGTGACAAAATATGGAAAAGTTCAAGGGGTATGAATACTTTTGCAAACCACTGTATATATTTATACATGCCATCCATGTATTTATCCATTTATTTTTCAGGTGAGTGGACAGATGTTGGGTGTGTGGTCCTGTGTTTTGTTGGTGTATATTTAAGAAAAAAAATAAATACAAAACATTGACTATGTAAAAAATATTGTAGAGAAAGTATTTGGTATTAGTTGTCTGACTAACTTCAAACGGTATTTCTAAAAATATTGTTTTATTTGCAGATGACACCACATTTTTTTTGTTTGGGTAATGATATATGTGGTAGCAAGATTTACCAAGAATGTGGAAACACGTTGGAATAAATGCACAGAAAGTCTGTGTGTATGGTCGTCAAATGATTTAATTTGAGCAACAGCAGAGCAGAAGTCAATCAGAGAAGTCTGTCAAGTTGTGACTGGCTCGTCAGCGCAGAGCAGCCGATAATATAACATCCTGTGACATGCTTACAACCAGTCACAGTTCACCAACTGTGAACCATCTAACCAATGACAGAGCTGTCAGCCCGGAAACACCTTATCAAAATAAAAGAGGTCATGCATTGCTGGAGTCTTGAAGTCTGGCCGATAGATTAAAACAGCCGAAACTAGTTATCATGAGATATGATTACTGGACAGTGTCAAGGTAGAACAGATATACATAATTATTCCATAACAATCCCTCCTCTTGAGTAAACAATACTCAAATCAAATCAAAAGGAATAATTATTAAACGTCCAAACACAAATGCATTACTCAACAACAAAAACAATGGAAAAATAAGGGAAAAATAGTGCAAGATATATGACGACCAAAAACATAAACATTCAATCAATGTAAGATACAACAGGAAAAAGGCATCATTACACATCAGAAGAATCGATGAAGAAAAACATGTCGAAATTTAAAAAACTTAAAAGTCCAAAACTCAGACAAAGTATCACAACACAAGTTCTGCCCTCCTCAAATATGATGGCATTAGCCGAGTATGTTCCATCAGAATCTTATCTTGGATAATGTGTTAACTTAATAACAACTGGTTGTCAATAAATGAACCTTAAGTAAAGTAAATTAGGACAAGGCGAGTTGAAGAAATGCTGAAGGCATTAACTTCTAGCAAAGCGATTGGACAAGTTCAAAAGCAAATCATAAATGAAGACAACAAAACTTCAAGAATAAATGTGGAAATGTCATTAAAATGTGCAAAATTCAGTTTCCACCTCATTCAGGTAAACTTTATTCCGCCTCAAACAATCCAAAATCATAAAAACAATAAGTAAACACTAAAAATACCAGAGCATACATAAGGTAAAATCTGCAACCCCAGAGAAGTAAGCAGCTAAAAAAAAGAAAAAAAATGAAAGTTTCAAAATCACTTTTGTCAAAAACCTCAGAGCCCATAAGGCATGAACTCAAAATGTATGGATTACTGCCATCAGCTGGCTTGTGCAAGAAAAGAGAAAAAAAAGTTTAACAAAAATAACAAACAAAAGCTAAGTCTAAAGTCTAAATAAATTAAACTAAAAGAAATAGCCTTTGTTTGTTATTTTTATTAAACTTTTGTTTTTTCAACGGATGATGGAAATAATGAAAACAGAATTTGTAAAAATACAAACATGGTTTAAACCAGGGGTGGGCAATCCTGGTCCTGGAGGGCCACAGCCCTGCATGTTTTACTTGCTTCTCTGCTCCAACACACCTGGTTTGAATGAATGGATGATTATCAGGCTACTTGCAGTATGGAGGACCGAAACTGACATAATTAGAAATAAAAGCATAAATACATAAATGAACCACTAAATAAATACATTTAAAATTCACCAATTAAAATAAGGAGAACTTTGTCTCATGTTTTTTGTTTGAAGTGACTTTAATATTTAGTTTTCCAGGTTAGTTTCAATAAATTAGTCTATGTATTTTAACACAATTTAAATTTTTTAAATATATTTTTTGTTTTTCCCTTTAATTCTACATGCATTTGTGTCTCTTAAATGTTTATACTTAATTATTTTTATATTTTTTCCCACAAATCTTTTTTGATGTGTTACATGCGTGTGCTGCCTCAGTTTAGCTTAAAGTTTAGTTTAAAACAAAGGCAAGGAGAAAAACTCATCCGGACCTTTGTTTTTAACTAAACTTTAAACTTTAAGCTAAACTGAGGCAGCACATGCCTGCAACACATCGAAATAAAAAAAGACTTGTGGGACAAAACTATAAAAATATTTAAGTTTAAACATTTAAGAGACAAATGTATGTACAAATAAAAGGGAAAACTGTATAAAATATATATTTTAAAAAACAGTCAAATTTGAATTGTGTTAAAATATATAATTTTATTGGAACTAAGCTGGAAAAATATCAACTAAACGACAATTAAATTACAAAATATGAGGTGAAATTCTTTTTTAATTGAATTGGTGCATTTTAAGTGTATTTATTTATCTATTTAGTGGTTTATTTATATATTTCTGCTTTTATTTATAATTATGTCAGTGTCAGTCCTCCATACTGCAGAACTTGGAAGGTAAATCAATGACTGAAACAGGTGTGTTGGAGCCAGGAAAAACGTAACACATGTAGGGTTGTGGCCCTCGAGGACCAGGATTGCCCACCCCTGGTTTAAACTTAATAAATTGTCACTAAATTTGGATAAAACTAATTATATGATATTTAGTAATAAAAAGAGAACTGTTGATGTTCTATTTAGAATTGATGGTGTTGAGATTTGTAGAGTCAGTGAAGTAAAGTTTATGGGTGTCATTATTGATGAAAAGCTGACATGGAAATCTAACATAAAGCATTTAAAAACAAAAATAGCCGAATCCATTGCAGTATTATACAAAGTAAGGGACTTATTTAATGATAAAGCTGTTTATATTATATAATGCAATAATTGTTCCACATTTGATTTACTGTGTTGAAGTCTGGGGTAAAGCATGCAAAACAATCACGAATCCTATTTTTTTTTACAAAAAAGAGCCGTCAGAATTATCACCAGAAAACATTTGTCATCCATCGAATAAATTATTTTCTAAATTGAAATTATTAAAATTTTATGAGTTGGTTGATTATTATATCTTACAGATTATGTATAAGACTCATAATTTTTTTTTCCCTTTAAACATTCAGTTATATTTTGTTAAGAGAGAAAGTTTATATAATCTTAAGGGACTTGAGATGTTTATAAAACCTAAAATTTGAACAAAATTGAAGGATCGATGTACTTCAGTTCAAGGAATAAGATTGTGGAATAATCTGGAAAGTGATTCTAAAAATGTTGGTTCAATGTGTTTAAGAGAATGATTAAAATAAATTTGTTTTGTTTTTTGATTAATATTGTTTGAAATTAATTTTGGAAAAAAGGGGCAGATATTATATGATTTTTTTCTTCTTTCTGCTTCCTTTCATTTCAAGTGTGATTTTTTTATTGTGTATAAAATTTTTATTTTTATATGAAATGAATAAATGAATGAAAAAACCTCGATCAAATAAATTATTTTATTCTGAAAGTTTTAAACTGGAATTATCACAAGTGAGGCAAAGCTAAAACTTTGGATTGAATTGGCCAATTTGCCATAAATTATCCTACCCACCTTCCACTTAAACCAATAGATAACTAACAACAGACGTTTGACACACTGAGTGAGTCTTATCGGTTAGCATTAGCGGAGCTCTGATTCTTGTTTAGCGGATTAGTGAACCTAACCTTTTGTTTAGCTGTGCCCACCACTGTTGTTCTGAATGACTCGCAGCTACTACCAGATCAGAGTTTCATCTCCGGATCTGTAAAATTCACTCCGGTGTTAGCTGTTTTTTTGTTGGCTAATGACTGCGGCAGCCATCTTGAATTGGATCAGCTTTAAAAGTTGCACGGGTGTAGTTGTGCCGTTTTGTAATTTCTGAAAGTTTCTTTCTAATCTGTCCAATGGTTTACAAGGTATTTTGCTAACAGGCTAAGAGAGTTGACGCCCACAGAGCAGAGAAGTAGGTAAAATTCCTCTTTGCTCCATTTTGTTTCAGTAAAACGAAATTTCAGCAGTGGCACAATCCCCGGGACCCCCGGTCTGAATGGAGAGGACGGGGTGGAGCAAACAGCGATCAAAGTGTCTCTAAAATGTCCGATCACGTTCAGACGAATCCAGCTGCCAGCTAGAGGCCACGACTGCAGGCACATACAGGTGAGGTCCAGGCTGCAGTCTGCACCCACATCGATCCGGATCTCTTCTCTCACAGACGCACTTTTCTTTGTAGTGTTTCGACCTGGAGTCTTATTTGCAACTGAACTGTGAAAGAGGGACGTGGAGATGTCCTGTGTGCAAGTATGTGCTGCACCACTGATGCTCATGATGTCATCAGTGTCAGCAGCATGAAACTGATCAGCTCTTCTTGTTGACAGCAAAACAGCTCTGCTAGAAGGTCTGGAGGTGGACCAGTACATGCTGGGGATCCTCGTCTACATTCAGAAGTGAGTTTGATTATTTTTCTATTAAAGCTGGATAATTTATTACATTCATTAGACTCACTGATGACATCAGTTCTGCAGTTTGTAAAATTTCAACTTTACAAACAGAAAAATAAACTGTTTGTTCCTCAGCTCTGACTACGAGGAGATCACCATCGACCCGGTGTGCGGCTGGAGGCCGGTGCCTGTCAAACCCGACCTTCACATGAAGGAGGAGCCCGATGGTCCGGTCCTGAAACGCTGCCGCACGGTCAGCCCCAGTCACATGGTCCTGCCCAATGTTATGGAAATGATTGCAGCTCTGGGCCCGGCGTCGTCCCCCTACCAGGGTCTGACTACAGGGGGCAGGAACACCCCCGACTACAGCAGGCCAGGTAATCATGGTGGGCATCAAACACTGCCTTTAGATGGTTTTATTTAACCTCACGAGAACTGTTTTTTCTGTTTTCTATTTACACTAACAGACATTCACCCATTCACACTCATTATTATTATTATTATATTATTATTTGGTGACAAACAAATGTTTGGATAATTTTTGAAAAGAACAAACATTCAATAATAAGTCTTATAAGGCAGGTAGGAAAAATAAACAACTTTTAGATGTAAAAACTTCAGATTTATTAACATTTATTAATGGTACCATCATGGTCTGTCCTGTGCAGAATGACAAAATGCTAAATTATTTCTTTACTAAAACCTCTGTAACTTTGCGCCAGTTAATTTCAGCAGCATGAATCTTTGCACAGATAATGTCCACAAGTGGATTAATGGTTTCGAAGAGTTTTCTGCCTGATTCATTATGGTTTTAAATGGGTTATGTACGGTCTAGTGAAAAAAAATTTCAGGTGAAAGTGGGGGGAAAAAAAGTTCCATCCCTAATATCTCTAAAACCACAGCAGCTGTTTCAATACTTACACTTCTGATGAAATCTTCCAAGTGTTAGCTTTATTTTGATACCTAGATTATTTAAATAGAGTTTGTAAATGCTGATACACTCAGTTACATTTCAGCGTAGGGATTTTGAGCAATCACTTTAAGAGAACTCCTTGGGGATTAGTTTACCTTTTTTTTCTACAATCCTGCTCCTCTAAACATTAACCTTTTTTTGACAGAAGGGCCTTTAGACACATCTAAACTGAGAATCTCTCAACCTAAGAATATTTGCTGAATGGACTTTATGTTATTTTCATTTTGTTTTCAGGAAGCCAGGGATTTTCAAGCCAAACAGGATTTTCAGATTTCCCAAACACTTCTGGGACCCCGACACTTGGGGAGTACTCCTCCTCTGGACCACCACCTCCTGTCCCATATCAGTCTGAACAGGTTAGACATCTTTAAACATGTACGTATATATGTGTGATGTATTAACAGCGGGTAAAATAAGTATTGAACATGTCACCATTTTTCTCAGTAAATATATTACTAGAGGAGCTAATGACATGAAATTTTCACCAGATGTTGGTAACAACCCAAGTGATCCATACATACAAAGAAATCAAACCATAAATGCCCAGAAATGAAGTTATTTGTAATAATGTGGAATGGCACAGGGAAAAAGTATTGAACACAAGAAAAAGGGGTGGAATAAAAAGGCATGGAAAGCCAAGACACCAGCTGAACTCTCTCAGTAATTAGAATGCCTGCCCATTGTCAGTGCAAATTAATAACAGCTGGTTCAGTCCCAAATGATGGCCAGGTAT